ATGAGAAAGACGAGAAATAATTGAACTATTTAGTGTTCAAAATCTGAACAAAATACATAAAAGTTACATATGTATGTTATAAACAGATATGAACAGATGTGTTATAAACTTACCTATATATTCGTTAGTAGAGCTGAACAGATCTGTTAGAAATTTACCTATTTTTTCAAACCCTGAACAAAATCATAAAAGTTTGAAAAAGTTCGACCAACGTCATGTTCTCTTCGAAAAACATCTAAATAATTTCGAATTATGTATAAAATATGATATATCTTTGAAGCTTATTCGAAAAGAATTTCGAAAAACGACACAGATCATTGAAAATAATGAAAAATAAAAACTACGTTTAACAAAAAGTATTTCAGCTCTTCATAGATTTGTAATATTATCGCCCGATTTTGACCGACCTGTTAAGATTTAGCAACACAGATTAAGAAATCGGGACGAATATTTATTTTTCGATCACTACTGTTGGCCACAAAAACAACATTTCTCGGATGTTTTTTTTTTAATTTTGTAAGCCTTTACCGGGAGAAAATCTCCGGTAAAACATTTGTTTATATTGAATCTCGCCGAGTTTGTCGTAGGATCGGGTGATTAGGGTTTCAGACAGAGTGAATAACGAGTGAAGCGCCGACATAAAAAAAAATAAAAAAATGGCTTACATCACTCTCAAGGAGTTTATCTCTATTTATAGTCATGTTATCATTGACCTGTTTTATATATGATTTTGGTTACCCTAAAAAATTAAGTGGACTTCTAATTTGGGCTTTTTTTATCATTCAATCAATATATTTCTTTATGGCCCAAAAATTGTCATTTTGTTCAAATGTCTTAAATATTTGGCACATATCATTATTTATCAACCAAATACAATTTTATTTTGTAATATTTTGCTGGTATTTTTTTAGTTTTTTTTTTAAAATTTCCTATATAATCTATAGTACAAAATACAATAATTATTTAAAAAAAATAAAATCATTATATGTCTTAATTTGAAGATAGTGATTTGTAGTGATGGAAATTCTGTTGATAGAAAAACCACAAACGTTGTATATAAAGAATTGTTTAACAATATTTAGTTATTCTTTCTTAGACTATTTTTCTAATGATTATATTATGATTTTTATTATTGTTTATATATTTTTATTTTGTGTTCTAATATATTGCTTTCCGTGCAAATGCACGGGTTAAAAACTAGTAGGGTATATGTTAAAAGTATCACTATGTATAACATGTATGAGTGTATGACAACACATGTATGAGTGTATGGCATGATTGGTATGATGGAATGGAATTTCGTATTAATGGAATGAATTGCAAAATGGAATGATTATGAGAATTGTATGAAACATGTTTTGTTATTGATGCGTTTGGTATGCAGAAGGAATAGGACTGGAATGAAATAACATTATTATTTTTTATTATAAAAAATAAATAAAAGCTTTTTTTAAAAAATAATATATTTTTAGTAAATTATATATAAATGATTTCTCAATAATATATAAAAATACAATAATATATTTTTAATAATATATAAAAATAAAATAATATATTGTTTAATAATATAAAAAATAATATACTTTTAATAATATATAAAAAAATAATATACTTTTATATTATGTATAAAAAATAATATATTCTTAAAAGTAATATATTTTTATAATTTAAAAAATAATATATTTTTAATAATTTTTAAAAATAAAAAGTAATATATTTTTAATAATTTATATTTTATTTTTTAATTAAACAGTAAATAAAAGTAAGTTTTCAATTTTTTATTTGAATTTATTTTTTAAAATAATATATTTTTAATAATATTTAAAAATAAAAAATAATATATTTTTAATAATATATATTTTTAATAT